TATTTGGACATCACAAACATCTAATTTGAACAAGTGCTGCATTCAACATACGACACACAAAAATTGATACTTAGGTATGTTTTTTTAATACTAACTTTTAAATTAAGAAATTAACTAATGTATAATACTAAAATGTGAATTATAATCTACAATTTGATAACAAATTTATCAACATAAATTCATAAAATAGTCATTCAAATTTTGAATGCAAGTCAACAAACATGACATAGCCTCTGACTCATGTCGAAAGGGTTAAGTATGTCTTTGGATCAAGAATGTCAGTGACCTCAAGCTGATGTACTCCTCATGTAATAAAGGGTTCTTTGTGTAGAGCTAATAACCATTAACAGTTTCTGTTTTTATGAGTAGCACCCATGCATTGCATACTAGACAACTACATTACATAGCAACAAACTTGTATTAACATTGGGAAGTATTATCACTGTTACACAATCCACTAACAGTCCACCCTGAGAATCTACAGAGAATTCAATCTGGAAATTTACCCTACAACCCAGTCTGCAAGAATAAGCCTAAGCTCCTGTGTAAGTCATATTTTTAAGTTTGATGAAGTGTTTCTTACTTTGAATAGTAAAAGTAATTAATAATAATAAGAATGATTATAGTATTTTAAATAGAATAAGCTTGAATAACTATTCTAAGTCTTGTTAATACATGAAATTTCCTCAAATTGGTGATCTGTGTACAAACAACACTGATTGCATTCCTGGTATTTCAAATAAATACAAGTTGTAACGAGTAACTATCCTCCTATAGTGCCAATTACAGCTGGTTAATCATCTTCCTTCAAACTTTATTTATTGTTATTAATAACATTGTGATAACTTAACAGTTTCATAGATCAAAATAACGTGTAAAGTAAAAATATTCAAAACATAAGCTTCCTAAATAAAATCTGTGCAAATAACTGAGTGTAAGGCATACTTGCTCATAAATCAAAGATCCTTATTAACTGGTGTTTGGAATGATAAAAATATATATTGCACATGATTTGAATGTACACTCATCTTTTATGAATTTTTAATTCATCCTAAGAAATTCCAATAATCTGTATATATATCAATCTGATTTGATATTTTTGTAGCTTACTTATCAGGTGATAAACCATTACTACAAATGATGGTTAATATATTAAATATAGTTGACTTAATATTTTAAGCTACGATATTGCACCCATCATAATATAATATTTACAAAACGTTGGATTCATATAAATACTGAAATTTGTTTTATTTTGTAAAATAATTTTTTGCAGGAAGTTTAGTGTTAATTGTTGATCACAAAGCATTAAAAAGCATTTATTAATTTGCCAAGTGTGTGCTGCATGTTTTTTGCTCAAAGCCAAATAATAATATTATCACTTTGTTAATAAGACAATGACCATTCACACCATAACCACCAGTAATAAACACACAACTGACAAAATCCAAAACTAATTTTTCGTGGGCACCTTATACTCAGATCCAATACATGTAGACTTAAACATTACACTTACAAAAAGCATATTTAAAAACTTTTTTCTGCACCAGTTATTCTTTGTCATAGTAACTGTATACTTGAAATTCATACACATACACATAGATATAAAAACAACAGAAAAATAACTTAAATACAAGCTGAGATTGTTTTAACAAAGCTTTTTAAAATGTATTAAACTATTTGATTCACTGTAATTACACTTTTTCATCAAACACACTACTCTTGATCAAGTTAACTCAGTGAACTAACATGTAAAAAGCTGTATCAAAATTATCTACAATATCAAAACCTAATCATTTTGATCAGTATAACTGAATAACACGTGGCAGTAAATTTATCTATCAAATGAGAAATTCACACAGAATTTTAACCAGGATATGTAGAATAGTTAGATTTTTTAAAACAGTAGTTTAAAAAGAAGAAACTATTATTCTCTCTTTTGATATACATAAAACATATTTTTATTAAAAAATACCAACTGCAAAAAACAAATATATAAATAATTCCATCACACTTACCTTATGGGCTTTCCTCTAATTTCTGTCATGATGTTACTTTCCCCTCCAAGATATTCATAGCACAAACTCAAGAAATTGTAAATCACAAAAGCTAAAGATAGATAAAATAAAATTCACTAAATATAGCCATATAAACACTTTATTATTAGCTTCTTACCTTACAAGCTCTACTTTTATTGGATGGCATTCAATGTGAAACTACAATTCAAGAATAACATGAATTTATACTTTCTGAAATAAAACTTGTATGCTATTTTTAACACTATTATATATATATATATTAATAGTCCATATCATAATGTTTCTAAATGTTTTGTTTATGATTTAATAAGGCAAAGCTAGAAAGTACAGGTTCCCTGTATATAATATCTACCTTCATACCAGTCCCGAACACTGTCAAAGTAAATGTAAAAGCTGTCGTGAAAGAAGAGCAAACTTAACCAGGAATCAAAGGCATAAATAGGTACTATAAACAAGATCCTCACAATCCACCGTTGTTCAGTTGGGCAAGTATAATACCTGAGATGCTGATAAATCTGTAAATAATTAACAAAGAAAATGTAGACTATTTCAAGATAGGAACAAAATAAAACTCTTCTATTTAAAACATTTAATATTTTCTTTCAAACTGTTACCTTTTACAGTAAGCAGAAGTACATGCAAGTTCTTGAAGATTGGCCTATACAAAGACTAGAACAGAAAATACTCACTGTATTTTTGATATTTACTGCAGATACAGCTATTACAAATGAAGAGCTGAAATACATATGTTAAGTTCCCAAAACATGAACAACATAATAAAATTATGACATATTAAACAAACTGGAAATTTATAAAATATATTATATACAACTGTTTCTTACATGAAAAAAAAAAAATTTCTAACCAAATGAAATGATAGGAATCTTTATAACATCATATTAATAATTCTCTATACTAAGATATTTCTCAAAAATTAATTTGTGGTTATATTGTTACCAAATATCAAGATGTGACAATCAAGTGGAAAAAAGACAATATTTATAATCAGGCTTATATATTTTATAAAATAAAAAGACGTGCAGTAACTGATCTCTGGAAAAATGGTACTGAGACAGGGATTTTAATAAACACTGATGACAATGTGATAGCAAATGTTTTAAACTTCTACTTTGAAATAAGTTGGAGGTGAATTTTGAAATTAATAATTATCAAAGTCATGATGTTTTAAAAATACAAAGTGTAACAGGTATAAAAATGACATTTTTCTGTTACTTTCTGATGCTGCCACTGTGTTACAGTATACTGTATTTCTTTCTTACTTTAACACAGTTTATAAACCATTCATAAATGATTGTATGATGCATCAAATCAACAAAGACATTAACATTTTCTCAGTCAAACAATGATTTCTTAACACAGCAATTATCGTAACATCATAATTCACATATTTAACAATTTAGACAAGCTTCTCTGTACTTTTGTGCTGCCACAAGAATGAACTAAAATAGTTCATATGGCTACAGCTAAGCAAAGATATTACAGACAGCCACAGAGATACAAAAATAAATACTATAAAACAAACTCAACAATGACCTAAAAAATAATAAGACTGAAAATGAATATTCATTGTAAGAAACAATAAAAAAATTATGTAAAACATTTTTTATGCATACAAAAAAATCACATTGCAATACTGTTACAGAAAGCTCAATTTTTGTAATAATATTAAATACAAAATTATTTATTACTTGTTAATATGTTATATTTTTTCTATGTGAAGTAATACACTATTTATACTACAAAAGGTGTTCTATGCACCGATTACACGTGTACTCAATCTACATTTTGTCATTCCGTTATGGTGCAGTTTTTCTATCAACTAAATAAGCATACTGATTTATCAGTGTTTAATCTCTATTCATTTTGTGTGCATATGATTATATACAAAATATGCAAAAACTAACATTCCCATATTTAATGTTTATGGAAAAGTGAGAAAATGTGAATATACAGTTTTTGTAACACAGCAGTACACTTATCTACATTAGTTACCAAAGTATCAAAGTTTGGTTGATGTATAGTGACATAAGGGTGAAAAAAAACAACAAAAGCACAGTAAAGAATCATGCTTAATAGCTTTACTTAAAAACATGGATTTATTGTACAGAAAAAGTTATCATTGCATTATTTAGTTCTAAGGCTTAAAGTTTCTAATAGTAACATAGAAAATATCATAGAGGGGGAAAATTTCAGTTAAAAGCATTTTATTATGAATTATAAAGTTTTGAAAAACAACTGTTAGCAAAAATCAAATCAGGAGGCACATTAATGGAATTGACAAAACATTGCCAGCAACAGTCACTAACTTAACTTGTATATACACGAATATATGTATTTCATGTGTCTAACAATTTTAAACAATAAATCAATTAAAACATTTAAAATTTTTCAACTTTCATAAGTTACAATATTTAATCATCATGCAAAAAACTAAAAATCAGCCTCAGGACCATATTTTCATAATGAGTTCACCAGGCTATTTTAAACTGTTGATATACATTTTAATGCAACATTTCAGCACTATTGATGATGCATATTTTTTCCAATCAACAGATATAGTAACAAAGCAATATGATAGTGTATTCTTACCTTGAAAAGAAACTATGTGCATGCATAAGACTGACACTGTTACACTTAAAAACAATAAGCACTATCCCAAAACCCAATGAAAATTTCTTAAAACTGAAATTTCAAATAAATATAACTCAGAAAAATATCTAAATAAAGTATACATGATTTTGCATATTTGATCTGCTTTATTGAGTGCAACCATAATAAAGACCTGAAGAAATGCATACTTAACCACCTAAGAAAAATACAGCCATTAAAAATGTAACAGAGAGAAACATTTTGGATACACCTGACAATGTTATTACTAATCTTTCTAGTTATACATTAACAGTTTGAAAAAAAAAGTATTAAGGGGTTTAAAATTTGCTTTAGCCCCAAATAAGATCTATTTCATGATTTTCTCACTTCCTTTGAACTAATGTTAAGACAAATTAAGAAGCGTGATGCTTATCCTGCTAGTGGTGAAGCTTTAACTACTGTAAATACCATTTAAGCAGCATTGTCCTCACAGGTCTGCATTCATATAATTTTGGAAGAAAACCTTTTATCATCAGAAAGCAGGAGAAATAACCTTTGAATAATTTAAAATCTAATAAACTCGGTTTCATCACTATATCAGATAAAGATAACAGTGTTGTAATTTTAGATAGGAGAAAATATATTGAAAAGTTTAAACAGATCATAAGTAGCACTAACTTAAGTTCTCTAGATTGATCAAAGATATTACAATCACAAAAGAAAATAAATAAATTTGTTGTTGTTAGATTTGAAAAACAAAACACCATTAATAATAGCATCTAGAACAATTTAGACCAATTGGACTTCATGTGTTTATTCCTTAAGGTTTACCATAGATTAATAAACCCAATCATCCTATTCAACCTATAGTGCCTAATATATAGATTGTTTCAACCATAATTTAGTCAAATTCTTAAACTCATTCTTAATGCAGTTCACTTGTAATTACACCCTCGGAGATATTAACCATTTCTTTGAAAATCCAAAAACCAAAAGGTCTGATAATGAAGTATTTACAACTAGCCTAGATATTAAGTCTTCATTCACAATTATACCTCTAAAATCAGACTGTTGATTTATGCTTGAAATTAGTATTTCACCTAAATCAATTAATAAGTGGGTTAAATAGGCAAACATTATAAAGGTCAATTGAACTAAAGAATCTTTTTTTTTCAGTTTAATAGAGAGTTCTATGAACAAATAGATGGAGTTTGTATGGGTTCATGCTTACTTCCTGTCATGGCTAACATGCTTATACACTAATATGAACTAAGATGTCTATATGACTGTTCTTCTCAGTTTAAACCACTTGTTTATAGCTTTTGTGCAGTGGTTTTTAAAAATTAACAGTTGTTGAAGTTTGTCAATTATATAAATGGTCAACAAGATAAAATAAACTTTACATGGAAATGCCAAACAGGGTCTATTTTATTTCTTATAGACACCCTTGTGTACAACAAATTTGAAACATTTAAAACTGGAGTATGTCATAAACCAACATACACTGGACTTTATTCACACTTTGATAGCTTTATATCACATCATTATAAAGAAAAGCTAATCAAATGTCTTACCATGCTTACAATGTTACCAACATCTGTGAGCTTTTCCAACAAGAACTAAATAACTTAGTACCAGTTTTGAAAATGAAATGTTTCCCAAAATATTTTGTCAAGTCTAAAACTGAGAAAATGGTAAAACAGCTTTCTACTTCTTCTCATTTCAATTTAGATTTTCCCCAAAATTGCCAGTGTTCATAACTACTGTATACTGGTGCTCACTCCAGTCAAATAAAAACCAATTGAATGCTATTATTTGAAGAACTTATCCTAAAATTGAGATAAAATGTGTGTATATTTACAATTTCTACTCAGATTTTTTTTCTAAATTAGCAATAACATTTGTCTTCCTCAATAATTCTGTGTGATTTATGAATTCTGTTGCCCAACATGCGAGGGAGGTTATGTCTGTTACCAAAAAAAAAGGAAGACAAGAGAAACATAACTTATTAATCCAAGGTCTAAAGACATTTCAAGTATTGTTCTACATGTACTATCAGATTGTAATATAGTGGTGTCTCAAAGCATGTTCAAAATCAATGCAAATACAGATGAGACAATGCTAAGAACAAAGGAGACTTCTCATTTGTCAGAAGAAGCCAACTTTGAATAACCATCAAAATCCTACAGAACTTTTATAAGCAATTTAAAGTAATTTAAGGTTTATCTAAAATAATTTATTATATTAGAAATTTCAATTCCACTTACCTGGTGGCATGTGACAATCAAAGCTGCCCACACAAAAGCTCCTGAAATTGCTTGTGCTGCCGTGGTTTGCAGGAAAATTGGAGGAATCTCTTGCAAGCTACCATTAGTTTCATTCCTCACAATAGCTACTGGAATACCATGATCCTCAATTGTAATGGTACTTGCTAAGAGTTCTGTTTCTGTTGAATTGGATCTGTCCAAACTGTTGGTCATATTCATTGCTGTAGTTTACAAAAAGAAAAAGAAATTTTTATAACATGTTATACAGGAATTTTCTTATGCTAATAATATATTCATTATCAATTAACATATCAAGTTTAAGCTCTGAAAACATGGAAATCAAAGAGAGCTTATATTTGCTAAAGCTATGTCTCATGCAACTGATGATATAAATAGCACCTATACCACTACTAAGTCTGTCATATCCTAGCCAGCCTGATGAACCCTGGTATTGGGTGAAAGGCCTCATTGGCACTGGATTTGGGAGATGTGTTTTGTTTGTTTGTTTGTAGTTAAGCACAAAGCCAAACAATGAGCAACCCGTGCTCTACATACAACAGGTATCAAAACCTGGTTTCTAGTGTTGTATGTCCACAGACATACTGCTGTGTCACTGGGGGGCAAGAGATATGGTGTAGTTGACATATTATTACACATTTGTCTTTGTTTTCAAGCCAGCCTGATGAACCCTGGTCTTGGGTTCAAGGCCTCACTGGCACTGGATTTGGGAGATGTGTTTTGTTTGTCATTAAGCACAAAGCTATACAATGGGCTATCTGTGCTCTGCCTACAACAGGTATCAAAACCTGGTTTCTACTGTCATAAATCCACAGACATACCACTGTGCCACTGAGGGGGCAAGAGATATCGTGTAGTTGACAAATTATTGCATGTTTATCTTTGTTTTCACTCATAAGTTCTTAGAATTCTTAATGTAGTTTTCTTCCCACTAATGATCACTTAGTGTGCATGTGTGTGTGTGTGTTTTCCTAAAGCAAAGCCACATCAGGCTATCTGCAGTGTCCACCGAGAGGAATCAAACCCCTGATTTTAGCATTGTAAATCTGAAGACTTACCGCTGTCCCACCAGGGGACCGCTCACTTAAAGAAAAAGAAGATTAGCTTGCTGGTTCGCTTGTTCTTCTGAATAATAGTAAAGTCAATTCAAGTGAAAATTATATATAAATAAATAATTGGTGTTAACTAATAAAAAATAAATAACATTGTGTTACTAATCCTTACCTTAATTATGACTTGTAAATGACTTAAATAAAATTGACAATATTTAGACTTTACTTACTTAATCTAGTTCCCAACATAATACTTTAAATAAAAGTCTAAATATACAGCTTTTGAGTGAATTGTTTATTTTTATATATTTGTCTTGATTCCCTGAAACTTTGGGACTAAAAGAGTAATCATTTGCAAAAGTCTTTACTAAAATGTCAATGCCACTTAATAAGCTTCTTGAATAAAGCATACATACATATGAATGAGCTTGTAGTTTATCAGATGGATGAACAAAGGCCCATACAATTACCATAAAATGTAGTTTCCTATAAAATCATGTTGTATCTAAACACTTTTCTTTGTTATCACTATATATTATAAAACTAAAACAAGCAAGATTGTATGGTATAATAATAATGCTAAGATATCACTGAAAATCAATTTGTAAGTGCTTGGTTTTACTGTATCAAATCTACACGTAATGTTTTCTTCTAAATATTTATTTATCTAAGTTCACAATATCTCTATAAATAAAATAAGAAGCAAGTTACCCAATGTCAATCATATTCTGCACTAGATCAACTGCCTCATTAAGACAACTCTACATTTAGGGTAAAACCAAAATTGAAAGTTGTGGTGTATAACAATTCAGAGCTCATGCTGGTAAATATATTTTTTTTTAAAATCACAGATTTTTTAATTTGGTTCAAAATATGGATATTAGTAAAAATTAGCATAAACTTATGATGCTTTTGTGTGGCTAAATAAATTCAACAGTCAATTTAACCCATAAAATCTTGAAACACTTTTATTTGAATAGTTATGACCAAGTTTACAATGTTAATGAAATTACTTTGAGAGACCATTCAATACCTTATATGTATATGAGTGATGTGTGTCGGTGTACATCAGTGAGTGCTTACTATAAGTGTTCAACAAACCTAACTTCCTGTAAAAGATACGTCCTTCAAATACAAAAAGAAAATTCTATAACTACATATTTACTTGAGAATAATATGCCTAGGATAGAACCATAACATTTGGAGATAACACACAGGAAAGCATTAGGCTTGCATCACATTTTTAACTGACTTGGAAAACACATAACATTATATAATTCAGAGTATAGCAAAATATAAGCTACATTTTATTGCCATTTTCAAGTAATATTCACTGTTTAGTAGTGCTTTTTTAACCACCATAGTAATACAGTTACAAGCTTCTTTTGGGTTATGTTTTTTTAATTTCTACCTTCAAATAAAAATTTACAATCACTTTACATGTATAGGATAACCATCATATGTGAGTGGAAGTACAAATCTAAGACATATTCTGATGATTAGAAAAAAAAGGAGGAATTCAATAATAAATCTTGGGATTTTACAGCCATGTTGAATTTGCTTCAAATGAATACAAATAACAAGAAAATGTAAATATGGAAAAATGTACCTTAGTACCTTTCACCTAAAAAATATTTATAAGGTTTCAAAAGTTTACTGTTACTGTTTTACAATGACTAGAAATTTCAATAAAAATTGCCAAAAACTGTTAATTGTTACTGATGAAAAACCAAGTTGACAAAAAATATACTAAATCCTGAACACAACTAAAGAGAAAAGTTGTTGTACAGACATTCTATATGTGCAGGTTCAAATATTCAAAAGGTTCATTTTCTGTATGATCCCAAAACAACCTTATTTGACAGATACCTCATATAAACAATAATAATGATAAAGAGCCTTAAAGATCTAGCCTCAATTTCTCTGAAGTTTACAGAAACTTGAGATAAGTTGAATTAGTTATGGGATATCTGTTTGAGAAACTAAATGTTAAAGTTATAAATGGGAATTTGAATATCTGTGATAATAAGCAGGGGTGCCAAAATCTCAGACATTTAGAAACAAGCAATATATCCTAGGAGCCAGGACAGCAGCTCAATCCAGTTAGGGGCAAGGGGAGGTATCATTCTTACTTTTCCCTAAGAACATGTGTGACTAAATGTTATGAATTTGCCAAACACATGTATTTAACAGCTTGTGGTCAAATAATCAAAATTTGAGTTTCCAATCATTACTATTTTTAATTATTCCTACTCAAGTAATTGAAGTATTGCTATTATGTTTGTTTGTTAAGCAAAAAGCTACATAATGGGCTATGTGTGGTCTATCCAATTTCATGACTGGATGATCTCAGATTTGATTCTCATTAAACTTGTTTCCCTGTCTCTTTTATGGCAAAGGTACTAAGACTATCTGCTATTGTCACTAATTTTGAGCTGTTGACTAAAGGAAAGGTAACTGTCTGGTAATACCCCCTATCAACTGTTTGGAGCTTCTTTTTTTTTTGAACTACTAACTAGAGACTACGTAACTGTCTAGCCTTAATTTTGTCGTATACTACCAGCACTACTAAAATATGGAAAAGGTTATTCAAAATTTGACATCACATCCTATGTTTCATAATCTCCCTTGTTTAGGGTTATTATTCAAATAATTAGATGCCAGGAATTTCATAAATCAGGCCAGCATTAAATCTACTCTGAGCTAGTAAAAAAAAGCTGTTGTTCCTCTCCAGGCAACTCAAAGGAGACATATTATACTTTTCACATAGTAAAGTACAATTAGCACATCTACTGAAAATCCTTAACCTTACTTAGCATAACATACAGATTCTAAAGGATCATCTTATTCTTCAAAGCTCTTCCCTACACATCCAAACTTGTAAAAAATAGAAAGTCAAACCCACCCATTATTTTTCAGAAAATCATTGATTTCTCACACTTAAACTCCTGTAAAGTATTGGCCTATACTGCTGCTGATAGCAACTCACTCTGTTAGATAAAACTATCTTAACCGGAGTTTAGCCTTTCTTTTTTACATTTTATGTTCTATCATCCTACTACTTTTGATTATAGCACATAGAAATCAGAAGCCTTTATCCTATTGATCAAGATAATTTTGTAAACTTCAAAAAGGTAATCTCTTAAACCTTTTTGTAAAAGAGCCTAAGTTAATAGTTTAACTTATCCCTGTAAGTTAACCCTTCCATCCCCTAAATCATAATCATACCCTCTTCTGAATTTTTTCAAGAAAGTCAATATTCTTTCTTATATAAGACAAAAAAAATACAGTATACCAAATATACCTAACTTGTGGTTTGTATAGATATAATCACCTGTTCTGACTTGTAATGAATATGGATATAAATATACCCTGAAATTCTGTTAGCTTTACTATTAGCAATGGAGGACTGCTTTAATGGCTTAAGTGACTCATTCATCACTATGCCACGATCCTTTTCTTCAGTGATGCTATTGAGTGGAATCTTATCTATATTACATGTGGGATTCAAATTAAGTTAACCAAAATGAATTACCTTGCACTTACTATAACTAAAGGTCATTTGCCAAATATTTGTCCAACTTACCAATTGATCCAAACCATTCTGTTGATGATTGTAATACTCTAACAATAACAACCTCAATACAGCTAGAAATACCCACGAGTTCAATGTCATAATTAAATGTTAATTTACTAGTTATCCTATACTAACATTACTGTGAGTAAGAAAACACCCAAGTACTGACTCCTTAGATACTCCACTACTGTATAGCTAAGCGACATAACTGATTAATCAACATAATCAATTACCTATGAGCAGCAATTACATCGACTAATGTCACATACATTAATTGATTAATCGTAGTTTGAAAAATTATTTCTATAATCAACTGAAATTCTGATTGTATCGAATGTCACAAAAATGACCAAATAATCGAAATTAGTGTTCCTTATTCTTTCTGTTTTTGATTATTCAAACAACCAATTAATCGAAAATTACAATTAAGTTGATCGCCATGAAAATAATCAACTAATAAAAAGTATGGTTTCAAATTATTACTATTTTTTGATTAATCCAACTATCCACACAGTCAAAGTATTGCAACCAAAATTGCTTACCCTGTCTTTGTTATGGAAAAGCTATTACAGCT